GAATTGTTGTTCTGACATTATGTAAAAGTGGTATTAATATTGTGTGACTTTTCAAAGAGCTAGTTAGATTTATAGATAGGTAATAGGGATATTGAAGAAATGACTTCTCAAAGAAAAGAGCACTTGGAACAAAAGAAGTGGAAAACAAGGTGTGCTTTAAGGAAAACAAATCTGAGGAAGGAAATGAAACAGCTTGTGGGAGGCGAGGGAGGATGATACCCTTTGGCGTTCCTTAGTGCTGCTGAGGCTCAGCCCCAGAACTGGAACATACCCCCTCTGCCTTACTTCATCTCTCTACCAAACAGGACATTGTCGAGTAGCTCAGACCAAAACGCTGATCTGTCTTAAAACTGTGTCGGTCTGCTGGTGAATATTCTCCGGCAGAGCTTTACATAAAACCGTAAGATACTTAATTTATCAAGTTAGCTTCCCCTTTCCTCCCAAAATTCTCTTATCTCTTGTAGGCCCCACTTCAGGATTCATACTGCCTTTGCTGAATTTTGTAGCAGCAGCTACTTAAGCCCTATTCCCTGAATGTGATAACATTGCGTGCGGACGAAGCTGGCATGTTGCGGTGCTATAGAAATCTGAAATTATTAAACAGAAGGAATCCTAAGACATTGGAAATGGCATGCCAAGGGGCAAATCGTGGAGATCACACAACCCCCTTGAGGAACAATTTAGGAACGAGCGCACCCGCGACAGTGTCCTGAGAACAAGGCAGTTGAGACAAAACCTGTAGTTCTTCCCCCGTTCACTCTCCGTGTGTTGGCCTCTGTGACCCTGGTGCTCCCCGCACCCGAGCGAGTCCAAGGGGAAAACGCAATGCGAAAAGACTTGGAGATCAGCGCCGCTCCCCGCGAGTGCCCGGGGAGCTGGACTGGGCCTCCCTGCGAGACAGGGAAGAAAGGAAGGGATCGCTGCAGAGCCGCCCGTGGGTGGTTTGAAGAGGTCTGGAGCAGCGCTGGTCCCCGTGGGGCACCTCGCGTGCCAGCGGTCTGTGGGAAGGACCCGGGCAGTAGCTTCTTCGTCCCAGCCAGTGCCGTTGTTCCATTTCCTTCCTCTGTGGTAGTATCTAAGGGTAGGTGTGAGTAGGTGTGGGGTGTTTATCCGCCACAGGTACAGGAGCTGTCGTATACCTCATTTCTAACTCGTAACTGAGTAACTTGCTTTAACTTTCTCCAAACCCTACAGAGTTGCCAAGTCTGCCCTCCCTCCTTTGATTAACACTGAACTCTGGCCTATAGCACCCCGTGACCTGCAACCTGGGGAGTGACCCCCTAACGCCTCTGAATGTCGCTGCTTAAAAGCTACTGCAAAGTGAGGGCAAATTGCAATCTTATCTTATTTCCTTTGGTTACAAGGGGTCCTCTTGATTAGTCTGTGAATATCCACCCCCTCCCCTCCACTCTCCGCGGAAAAGGGCCTCCCGCGCTGCCTCTCCCCGCCCCAGGGCAGCTGCCCCGGGGCTGCGCTGAACGCCAGGGCCCGGAGGCGCTCTCAGCCCAGTGCTGCGTACATGCTACTCACTTTTTAACATGACAACAAAAAAAAAAAAAAAAAAAAAAAAAAGAAATCTCCAAATATTTAATTTTCTTCTTTATTATTTGACAATCCTGTATCCCTTCCCTGCTCCCCAGCCTGGCCAGAAGCTGCATCCTTAACCCAGTCCATCTTTATTTGAATGTAGTTCCCCTACCCCCATGGGAAAGAGAAGCTTTGTCAGGTCACGGTGGCTGCTATACGTCGGGAGGGGGCGGTTTCTTTGTTTTGTTTTGTTTTGTTCTTTTAAAATTTCCAGCCAAAACCAAAGATTTCCTAATGATTGTATAAACTCAAAACAAACAAACAAACCAAAGACAAGGGCGTCTTCAGCACCAAGCCCATCTGTGAGGCCGGCCTAGCCGGGGCGAGGGTCTCTGCCAGCTGCCAGCCTGGGGGGGCCAGCCCGGGCCCCGGCCCCCAGGGCTGCCCCAGGTGAGGGGGCGCTGCCCCGGGAAGAAACTCACTGCCCCGGGGCGAAACCCGGGGCGGGGGCAGCCAGGGGCTTCGCAGGTGGGTTGAGGAGCTGAAGACTTGGGTGCAGGATTGGCTGCTCTGCTGGGTGCTTTAACCCTCTGGGGGCTGGGTGATGTTGATTAATACACGCTGAGGTGCACTTCTGAGCTTCCCCCCTCCCCCGTCACTGCTTGGAAGAGGCTGTCCTGTTGGGAGAAATCCCTGGAAGAAGAAGAAGAAGCAGCTTTTCATTTCTCCTCTAGTTCCTTTTTTCTAGATTTCTTTTTATTTTCGCAGCACCACTGTGCAACTATGCATTGTATTTCTCAACCTTTTATGCTAGGTAGATGCCTGTGACTTTTTAACTTTGGGGGGGGGGATTGCAAATGGAGGAACTTTTTACATGGATCTTTTTAATCTCAGTTGATTGGGGGGTGTTTGGTTCTAGGGTCATACAAGCTCTATCCCAAAGCAAAATCCAAATGTTAATATTATTAGCCTGATGCAGATACCAAAGATAATTTCTTTCCTGCAGAACCTTAGACTTGTGTATTAAGTACGATTACCCAGCACTTGCATTAGTCTAACCTCAGTAATTCCAAAGCTTAGATGTATATTTTGGTATATTTCTGGGATATTAAAAAATTGTCGTTTAAATTCTTGTTTGTTTCAGTGTAATGCTCTTAAAGTCATAGCATGGAGATAACTGAACTTGTCCTATTCTTAGTAGTTTGAAATAATAGTATTTTTGTATGTTTTGGGTGTGTCTATGTATGTATTAACATAACAGTTTTCACTGCCTAGGTGTTCATAAATAAAAAAAAAAGCAACTAAGGGTTTTTAAACTGTACATAATATTCCATGAGGAATTTCCACCAGACCGCCAATTTGGATCGCATTTTCACTGACGGCCGCTCCCAACTGGGATTCTTTCTTTCTTTTTAAAGAGACAGCATGTTCTTTTTTTTTCCCCGTTGACCTGAGGTTCTTTCTCAGCATAAAGGGGTTTTCATTGGTTTTAAGGGATGGGCCAAAGAGGAAGTAGCTTAAATTTTGTTTTAAAAAAATATTTAACACGTTAGTTTGAAAGCTAACCCTTGGTACGAAGAATCGGGAGTTGAAAAGCAAGCCCTTTCTTCTAAATGCGGCAATAGTTTTCAAAGAGGTGATGATTTGTGAATGGCTGTAGCGCCTGGGCAGTCCCTTTTCGCTTCGTTTCTAAATAAGAGAAATTTCCGCTCTTAATGGTTTCACTGCTCCGTGCAACTGCCTGCTTACACTGGCTGGGAGGTTTTTTCCTCTTGCCCTTCCTCATATACTGCATTTACACGCTTCAGGTCAGCAGAACACTTGAAATCGAGGGCCGTATGGGAGTACCCGTACCCAAATGCAACCCAAGCTTTTCTTGAGACTGAAATGTGAGAGTCCCACACATTTCAAAACCTTGCTGATCACACTAGGGGTGAGGAGGAAGGCGAAATGCTGTCTCTTTAAAGATGTCCTTTATTATTATTATTATTATTATTATAATTATTATTATTATTATTATTTTCCCAGTGGTTGCCTACAGATAGCTGTAGGCATTGAGAGATTGTGTAGATTACAGTAAATCAGAATGAAAAGGTAGATTTTGTGTAGATGCATTTGTCTGCTGTAATTTTTTATATATATTAAACTTACTGTAATTGTACAGTTCATTTCTGTTGTAAACATCATTAAACCATTTTCCAAGTGTTTTAACATGTATGCACTTGTTCGTAGTTTTTTAAATGTGTCAGGGGAAGGCTAATTCCCCTTCCCCCTGGTGCATCAGACTGGGCCAGGAGATTGTTCTTTCACGCTCTTCGTCTTGTCAAAATGGAGGAGAGCCCAGGGCTTTTTGGCACTCCCCTTGAAGCTTTGGTTCTGCTTGTGCGTTATCAACTCCTCTCCTAAAAGAAAAAACAGCTGCAGTTGCTTCCTGAAGGCAAAGAGAAGACTCAGCTCACACCTGCCGTGAGTGTCCTCGAAACCAGCGTTGGATGCTTTTTGGAATCAAGATCCATTTATGTAGAAGGAGCATAAAGGTGGTATTTTTCCCGAAGAATTTCCTCCCCATTGTTTAGCGGTTGGTATTTTATGACTGCCGAAACTTTTGACTTCTGCATCTTGCAAATATGGTTATCGTGATTTAAAAAAAAAAAAGATATTTTCAGTACTCTTTGTTCTTGCATCAAGAGCAAGAGTGCTTTGCGGTAGCAACTTTACTGTAGTTTTCAGCTCAGCTGTTTTGAGGCGCCACTCAATTCTCTCGGCTTTTTCTTGTCATTGCAGAAGAACAGTAAGGGATCTAGAAAATTCTTTGCAAGAAACATTCATTGCCGTGCATGGGATGTCTCAGTTTACTTTTTTTTTGCACTAATTTAGTGTCTTTGAAATATTCTTCAAAAGCTACAAGCACCTACTGCAGATACAGTCCTACTGCTTAAGAAGCTAGGCACAGCCTTGCAATTTACCTAGCAGCAGCTTCAGCAAGTTTTTCTGCCGCTGACCCGGTCCCTTAAGAAAGGGACATGTAGCCTCACCTGGGCAGTGCCCCCAGAGGCAGCTCTTGTTCCCACAGTCTTGCTTTAGCTCTGCTCCCTTTGTTGGGACTGGTGGAATGAACTGGTCAGCTCCTGACCCAGGTTAAAATACCCTTCATTTTGCTGGGCTGCTTTTGTCCTTGCCGAGTTGCTTACAGGCTTCGTTGCACAGCCTTGTAAGTCACTGGCAAAACTGAGGATGCAGCAGGAGGCGAGTGTCCTGTTTATACTTGGGCTTACAGCATTTTTCCAACATCCCATCCCACCTCCCAGGATGTGTTAGGAAGCTCCTGTCGGAATACCATCCTCCTCAGCTTGCCTAGGAGATTGCGCTGCTGGGTGTAAATTGGTCCAGCCAGCCTGACTGCATCGGCTAATGAGCTTGTACCATTCCTGCAGCTGCTCACCGCGCGCACACACACACACAGGTCTTTGACGCTGACTTTATTAATTCATCAAAAACGCATTACATCATTACATTACTGAATTAGTATCTCTCTGGAATGATACCGGCATCATCTTTTAAAGGTAACCTGATGATAGACTGGTTTGGAAACCGCATTTACATTGGCTTTTTGTACAGTTTCTGTTGCCCAGAAGTGATAGTTTTGGTCTGTTTCTGACATTAGAATTACCATACCAACTCTTACAAGGGGAGCCTGTTCTGCAGTGATAGTTGTAGACGTTGCTAATGTCAGGGGGCAGAAGTTTCAGCCAAACGGGATTCTCCAGGGTGAGTTTTCCTGGCTTTTCCAGTATTACTCCCTTTATCAGAGTCCAGTCTCCTTGTTTCCGCTGTAACAGGGGTATCTTCTGCCTTCTGAGAAGTCTCTTTAGGCAGGCTCCCTGGCTCTTGTTTAGCTCCAGGTGCTGGATGAGCGGCGATGCCATTGCTTGGTCTTTTGTTGGCGCTTAGTGCTCGTTTTCTTTGTACTGAAAAGCTGGCATTTAGCCTCTGTCCTTCACTACTGTACTATCACATCGCTTTTTACAATTAAAAAAAGTCGTCCCCCACTGAAGCAGTTCTTAAGAGGTAAATTTAAAGCAAAAAGTTTAGCTGGCCTGTGTCAAATAGTCTAAAGATAAATACTACAGGAGATAACTACAGCCCTATCTTTACAAGTTCTTTAAATGTAATGAAACCATAATTACATGTCTCGATACCCCTGGAAGGCAAGTAAGAGCTACTGAAACAGCTGTGTTTGTTAGTAGGTGTGGTCTGGTCCCACAACACCAATCTTACAAAAATCGGCCTGATTGATAACCACTATTACTGGAAACAACTTTACAGATATGTACATTTTAATAGCTAAAGCTTGCAGTTACATGATTCAAGAGGAAAGGGAGAAGGGACTGACCAAGTCCAGGCATATTCCCTCTGTGCACCAACCGAAGTAGGTTGTTGCACTGAGAAAATACACAGTGCTTGTTCTGGATGAAAAAGGCTCTCCCTCCTCTCCTCCCCAAAGCAGGTGGGCATCTCTCACCCTTGCCCATCCCCTCCATGACTCCCACTTAGCGGGGGGGCAAAGGCTGCATTTGGAGAGCATCGTAAGTGTCCTTGGTCGCTGCACTGAGTCCCTGAAAAAGAGAAAAACAGGTGAGGTACCGGTGCGAGTGCTCGGCTCTCCCGAGCTGGAGAGGGGCTCCCTACCGGCAGGGGCTCAGTAGCATAATTCTAATTTTTTTTTTTTTCCCCTACAGAGGTTTTTACTCAGGAGTGTTTCCTTAGTCTTTGTACGGTGTCAATAGCTGTCACGTACCTGAAGGCAAGATGCATCCTGAATCACCGTTAGGAACGTATGACTACAGCAACTCATCCCAACTGGTTATGCAGATCTTTACAGTACATTTTGTTTGCATACCATTGACTAGTAAGAGCTAACTGATGCTAGAGTGAACTTTTGTCTGCTAACCAAATGAACAGACAGCAAATCTTGAACTTTGTTCTCTGGACTTCTCCTCTGTAATTTGGAAGGGAAGTCAGATGCAATGCCAGGTGAGTTGGCAGCAGGGCTTCAGGTGGCTGCGAACCCCAGGAAGCGTCCCCTCACACCCCTTCCTGCGATGCAGCAGTCCTTCTCCTGCCGGCCTGCTCTGGTGGGGATAAGTAAGTCAGCTGTAACACGCGAGTTACAGATCCCCGCTGCAGCCGTGGAACAGACTACTCCAAGAGCAGGGAGTAGAAAATGTGGCGGAGTCTCTGGTCAGCCCAGGAGGCTGCCAGAGCAGAGGTAACTGGGGCTTCCAAGAGCGAGGCCTTAGTAAGACACATGGTGCCTGCTTGTAAAACTTCTAGCTACCCTTCACTCTGCTATGAATATTTAGTGGCACACTGAGTACACTGATAAGATGATAGTGCTTCTTATCAGCTACCTGTGACTATCAGTAGAGCAGGTTTTGAAGAAAGGTACCATTAGCTACAAATAAGCCACCTTACAGGAAAACCCCCTGGCATGTGCTGCATCAGAAGAACTTTTTAATATGTATTTTATTTTTGTCATTTTGAGATGTTGGTGACAATGTACAGGCTTCTACTGAAAGTAAAATGCATTTTGGAACAGTTATGCATGGCGGCCCAAATAAGGCCTTATTGATGGACTCCTTGCAACGCTGAAACCCCCCTGTGCAGCAAGGGACTGGAGGTGCTGACCAGTTTGGGCTCTGTACGCTATAGTGAGATGGGCTGAACCACTGACGCTTTGAGTTACAACAGCTGTTTGGCAACCTGAAGGTTTCCATTTAAGCAATGAACAATTCAGAGACAGAACCGTATGCGTCATCTGCCGCCGTCAAAAGGTGGTCCTCCAAGATGTAGGACTGTGGAAATGGTTCCTACCAGAGCAGCTAAACAAGTGTTCCTGTCAGTTGTATTTGGAACACACAGCCGCTTTCTCAAAGTACCAGCAGTGTGGTCTTCGCCCTGAATCTGAGTAACTATCCTCAGAAAGGTGCTTTGAAAGCTCTGCTTCATCACGCATCGCTAGCAGTGTGGCGAGATGCATGACTAGAGGCTACAATTAAGCCATGAAGATAGACGAGGGGAGCAGGTGCTGGATGTGTTGCCTACCTGGTAGACACCTTCGTTCCCTTTGCCTCGCCGCCTCTGCTGCTTTGAGAAAGAAAAAGAAGCATAGCTTAATGGGTGCTTTTCCCATTATGCAAAAGGAAAGAAACCCCTGACTTCCCCCCATCCCGTACTGAGGGTCAGCAGCTGCGCTTGGCCTGGACACCCTCTGCGCAGGAGGGAGAGCGCCTGCTAAGTCTGGACCAGCCCAGGCACGCTGCAAGGGCTGTAGAAGGAGAAAATAGTGAGGATTGGAAATAAAAAGGAAATTATTTTGGTTTGCTGACATATTTTCCTGTCATACTGTTATAATGCTGCTATTTCTTTGATTTACTGTACCTATAGAGATTTGGCAACGTTCCTATAGACACCGACTGTTTTATGCGCTGAAGGCACACCTGGAAGAAATGGGGCTGTATTTCTTAAGTTGCTGCGTGTCAACTGGTGTCGGAGGGACTCTGCCCTCTATTGGACAGACACGGGCAAGTAAGTAAATTCTCCAGCACACGTTTGGTTAGCTGGAGTTGTCTAGCTGTTCAAAGGAACCGCAGATAAGGCTGTCTGAGGACAAAAAGTCCCCAGGATTCAGTAGAAGAGGTACCGGGACTGTCGTGGTACAAGTAGAGCATACAAACAAGGTCACTCAGACCAGCCAGGTACAAAGGAAAACCCTCTGCTTGAACCCGCTTGCTGCTGCATTCCCAGGGGTACGGGGAGCTGCCAGACAAAGCAGCCAAGTTGTGCACGAGAGAGTGATTTCCAGGTGAGAACCAGGGACAGCAGAGCTTACAGCCCCCTGGACAGGCACGTCAAGCCCACGGCTGGTCATAACTGCTCCGCGGCAGCAGAGCGCTGACTGTATCACAAACATTTCACGAACATGTGGCAAAGAGTAGCGCCTGCCACAATTAAAATTGCAGCAGCCTGTTAAATGATCATATATCTAGAATGAGGCAAGCTTTCTGTTGTGCGTGCGTGTGTCCCCGGTAATAGAAACAGTCATAAAAACATGGCGAGACTTCATATACTCATAGCTTGTAAACTGAGCTTGAATGTGGCAGATGGGCACTAGAATAATAAAAAAGGGGAGGGGATTAAACGTCGGTGTTGCTTCGGCATTTCTCAGCACTAAATTTTGTTTTGAAATGCCCTTTTTTTTCACTTTTCAGAGGGAAATGAAAGATTCTATTTAAGACACTTTGCCATAAAATAGAACCTGCGGTCACAGCAATTTTTCGTTTTGCCATAAACAGCATCCCCAGATTTTTTTTTTTTTTTTCCAACACAAGCTTCCCTCCCCCAGCAGTTTGCTGCTAGCTTTAGACATAACTGATCTGTTCCTTCTTAAAAAGTTGAGAGTGGAGGTGGGGGAAGGAGAATGTTTCCCTCATTACTTGTCTGAAGACAGGCACAAGGAGGAGCTTGCAAATGCTTACTTGTGCCTATAAGGCAGACCAGCCTCGACACCCATAGAGGGGAAACCATGAACCTCCAGCTCTGAATTGCTCTGGAGGAACACGCTCAACTAATGCGAGTTGCTGGGCCGCAGACATTGCAGTGCTTGAAATGAGACATTTCCTTCAACTATTCCTCGCCCATCTCATACCCTCTGCCTCCTCAGCTGGGGCAGCCGTCAGAATTTTTCTGTCCAAAAGTTGAAATATTTCCCCTTAACGTTATTCAGTCTGCCCAGGGACACTGCTGGTGTACGGGCTGTGTTTCCAGTACTGATGGGACAAAGCTTACTGTCTGATCTCCACCTTGTTTTATGGCTACTGTAACACTATAGCTACACGTCTGTCTTACTGCTGCACCAAACACACCAGTTACTACAGGAAATAATAGGTAACTGCTCTCAGCTGTGCCTGTAGGTGCTGTGGAACACGGGGACTTCTTGTGCAAGGCAGCTATGTGCAGCCGGGGCTACTGCTCTGTAAGGGAGCGGCAAGGAAGAATTTTCCATCCCAGGCTTTCACCAGGAAGGAAAGTAGGACTCACCTCTCCCTTCATTCCGATTTCACTGTATGCCTCGCCCATCTTCTCCTTCTGCAGTGACTGCAAGCAGAGAGGGAAAGAGTCAGCCTGTTACTAGAAACGCCAAGCCAGCCCCTGGGTGACTGCACTCCAAGCCTGTGCTTCTGGGGCTGCCTTGCCTTCAAAGCTTCAGTATATTCCAGAGGAGAAGGGACAGTGGTGAGACTTGACCAATGTGCATTTAAGTTGATGCTATACGTGATCAAATCTGCTTAGCACACCAATACCACCTCATCTCCAAACATTTAACTGAATAGAACTCTACCGTCAACCAAGTCATTTATCTAAACTGGCACCGGAGACTCCAAGCTCTCCAAAGAAAAGCTTTAAGCAGCATTTGTTCAGGAAACAAACCCGACTGTGCAGCTCAGGCCCAGACAAAAGGGAAGTCTAACACTGCAGGGTGAAGGTTAAGAAAGAGGAGCTCTTTTTTCCTCCATCCGGGGAAGCAGTTCCCAAATGCTTACAACCAGCTGTGGTCAGGGCGTCTGATTCAGTAATGAAGGCGGCCAGTCTTGGAAACAAGCTCATTTCTCAGCAAGCACTGAACACCCAGAAAGACCGGAATTAAGACATGAGCTTTAGCATTCATGTATTTATCCTTTGGAGCACAGACCGCCACATTTAGCCAGAGTTAAATCAATTAAATCAAGAGGCTCCTAAGCAGCCACTCTTAGATGCACTGGCATTTGGCCTTTGTCAGGGAGCAGTCGGAGAGGCCGGAGAACAAGCACATAAAATACTGCAGCATCAGTCACAGGGGACGAAGGTTGGTTAGTCACTAATGGCTAACATAAAGGGATCAGCAGGTATCTTGAGCCAAATTCTTTTCCCCACCTGTCAATGTTTTTCTCCTATCACGGAGAAGGGAGCAGAAATTTTCTATGAAAAAAGGAGGGGTAGAAGGGAAGAGAAGTCTTTGAAAGCAGCTGTTAAGTTTGAACCAAAGCTGAAATTGGGTAGGGGGAAAAAGTCTCCTGTGAAATAGAAACTCCTATTTCCAGCCATCCCTCCCTCTCCTTTCCTTCCAGCTCTCTCTACTCACAGTGTAGACGGTGTCCTGAGGGTTCTTTCTTCTCTGCTGTAAAACAAAAGAAGAAAGTTGCCCACGTGTTACAGTACCAGCATCCCCTACCCACCACCTCCTGTGTGCCTGTGCCTTAGCTCTAAGGCACAGCTACAGCTCTGTGGCTGTGCCGTACCCGTTACAGCCCATCTTGCCTCCACCCATAAGGCTCCAGAGAACAAGTTGCCTTAACAGAAAATTAATTTAATTTTAATAATTGATAAAACTTAGCTCTTCTCTGCTCAATCCCTACAGCTGTCACCTGCAGGCAAGCCCTACACGCTGATGCAGAAGGTTTCCCCTCCCTCTTCCTTTGAAACTCTTGGGCTCTGCAGCAGAAACAGTTGTTTTGGCTGCCGCTTTACTTTGTTGTCACTTGTTTGGCAGCATCACGTGCAGCGAGCTCTCGT